GACTTGAAATTCCTAACAGTTTACAGGCCTCTCTCCATTCCTGGTCCCATTTCTCCTGTAACCATGGAAACAAAAGGTTCAGCTCCAGCATCCTTAGGATGAGTCCTTCTTGGGTTTCCTCTTCCTATTGATTCGCTTAAATTAGGCACCACACGCAGGGTTGATCCAATACCCTTTTTTTTTTTTTTTTTTTTTTTTTTCCTTTTTTTCTCCCCTTGCCCTTTGGGGATGACATTGGAGGACAAGAGAGCGTGGTCTCAGGCAATGAGGGAGCGAGAGCAAACCGATAATTACAGGCTTATAGGCAGCAGAAATATTAAAAAATAATAATAATCATCAAAAAGAACCCCCCCAAACCCCAAAAGGAAAAAAAAAAATGGATAAGGAATTTCTCTCTCATCATGCACAGCTGGGCTGGGGGAATCTTGTCCCTGGGTGTCAGTCAGTGCTGTGCTCCCCTGGGGTGATTCACATCACTGCAGGTTGGTCCCTCTCCCCTCCCAACGGGATGTGGTGGGATCGGAGCCCTCCGTTCCGAGCAGAGGATGGGGGGTGAAATTTGGGCAGCAATACCACAGGGACACTGAGGCCATGGGCTGGGGGAGGGCAGGGTTCTGGCCAGAGGACGGACCTGGGGGTGACCCTTGTCCCGCTTTTGGCATCGGCGGCAGCCGGAGCCCAACGGGAGCGACCGAGGGATGTGGCGGGTGTGGGGAGGGTCGGAGGCTGCCAGGGGTGCAAGGAGGGAGCCACAGCCTTGCTCTGGGTGCACAACGAGATGGTTTGGGCTGGGTCCTACTTTCCTCAGCCCTTTTTACCCTGGCAGCACAATGACCTGCTCCCATGGATAACTACCATGGATACCCACCGTGGATACCTACCATGGATACCCACCATGGATAAACCACCATGGATAACCTGCATGGATAAACCACCATGGATACCCACCAGGGATAACCACCAGGGATAACCACCATGGATACCCACCAGGGATACCCACCAGGGATACCCACCAGGGATAACCACCATGGATACCCACCAGGGATAACCACCATGGATAAACCCCCATGGATAACCACCATGGATAAACTACCATGGATAAACCACCATGGATAAACCCTCATGGATAAACCACCATGGATAAACCACCATGGATAAACCCCCATGGATACCCACCATGGATACCCACCAGGGATAACCACCAGGGATAAACCCCCATGGATAAACCACCATGGATAAACCACATCCATGGGTGTAGACCTTGAGAGAAGGTTTCTAGGCCAGGGTGGACGGGGCTTGGAGCAACCTGGGCTAGTGGAAGGTGTCCCTGCCCAGGGCAGGGGGTGGGAATGAGATGAGCTTTGAGGTCCCTTCCAACCCAAACCCTTCCATGATTCCATGATAAACCTACCCTGGCTCCAAATAGGAGCTACCACACTGGGACCAAAATTTGCCACAGTTCAAGGGACTTAAAATCCACCCATTAAAAAAAAAATAATAATCCAAAACCCCACCTGGTGCAGCACAGCACTTGTGTCACCACCAGATCCCCTCAACTTTTCCTTGGCTTTCCCTGCACAGTCACAGAAAAGGTCACGATGGGCCCAAGATGAGGATTCAGGATCGGGAGCAGAGACTCTGCTTGCTTGCAGAGGGTTCCAAGGAGATGAATGCCCCCAACATCCTGCTAA